AGTAACCAAATCCCCTGTGTAGACCCATACACTAAAAAATGGAAGTCTGGGTAGTTCAGGTGAGTGGGGCTCATGGTGTAGAGGAAAGAAGATGGATATTGGAATCAGTCAGACCTGAGGCAGAGTTCCAGTCCCTACACTGCATGTCCTCTGACCGTAAGCTAGCAGTTCCTAAATCCCTGTGGTTTGGTATTCTCGTCTGTAAAGCAATCGTGAGAATACTTTCCTTTAGGGTTATAGTATTTTGAATATTGGAGTTACTGTGTGTGTGGTACAGAGTAGGCCTTCCATAAATGGGCGCTCCATCAATAGTGGATGGTGGTGATGATGATGAGCAACGACTCTGTAGCTGCTGAACGCCTCACTAAAAGTGACCAGAACACGTGAGACGCTAATAAGCTGGATCGGGTCAGGAGGAGATGACTTCTGGGCATTTTCAGTTGGCATGTAGAAAATGTTTTCCCATGAGTTCCCCGCGGTGTAATATATACTAAGGTCTCAACTTGTCTCAGCTGAAGAGCTCAGTTAGTGGGATTGTGAGGACTGGCTTGGGTGTGGAACTCCTCACCCCTTGAGTGTGGAGCACAGAGCTCTGGGTGTGGCAGGGGCTCAGGAAAATGGTTGTGTGAGTGTTTCCCACATAGATTCGTGAGGCTGTGAAAGTTGCTAGTACTTACAAATATTCTTATTTTCATACTGGTTATTTTTAATGGGAGCCCCTAGTTTACACATGGGTATTATTCCAAAATTCATTTGTAAGGTAGTGTAAAACTTGAAAACTCAGAGGAAGTGTATTGTAACTGCTGATTAGATGCTAGATTTGCCTTCTAAAAAGCTTATTTAACCCGGTATAGTTTGATTTAAAAAGAGTTAACACAATTTAGTTAAACAAGTAGGAATGTGTGGAGGTCCCACTATTGGCTAGACAGGTACCTTTCTGGGTACATAGATACAGTGGGAGATGTGATAGTGAAGAAGACCTACATAATAAGTCTCTAATTCATGAAGCAACTATAGATACAAGATAGGTACTGTAAGTGTCATCCTAATGTTTTAAGTAAACTACTTTGGGATTCAAAGAATAGATCACATATGTACTAACTTATAAAGATACCCAAAATGTATGATTGTTGGGTGGCAGAAAAGTAAGTTACATAAGTAGTCTGTCTTAGGCTGGGTTCTCCAGAGAAGCAAAACCAGTAAAGTGTATAAATATATATATAGAGAGAGATTATATCAAGGAAACAGCTCACGCGAGTGTAGAGGCTAGAACGTCCCAAGTCTGTGGATCAGGGTAGAGGCCTCTCCCAAGTCACACAACTGTAGAAGCTGGCAAGTCCAAGATTGGCAGGTCGGAGAGCAGGGCTCTCACTCACAGGCTGTGCAGATCGACGAATCCCAGGTTCGGCAGATAAGCTGACAGCTCAAGTCCCAAGAACGGGAGATGAGACAACAGGAAGCAGCCGCAGGATCCAGAGAGAGAGCAAAAATCCAGAACGTCTGCTTATATACAGGTGTGGGCCACACCCCCAAGGAGACTCCCTTTCATCTGATTGGCTACTCACAGTATATTCAGTCATGGGAGTGATTACATTAAAACACGGGGAATCATGGCCCAGCCGAGTTGACACAGAGTCTTAACCATCACATAGTCTGTATAGTATTTTCCCATTTAAAAAATGTTGGTATTTGTAGAGAACACGCAGAAGAACATGGGACAGTTTGGGAGGCTGAACATCACGGTAAGAATGAGGGCTTTGGAGCCAGACTGCATGAATTTGAATCCCAGCTTGGCCTCTTACTAGGGATGTAAACTTGGTCAAGTGACTTAACCTTTCTCTGCTTTATTTGCCACACCTGTAAAATGGTCATAATTGCACTTACCTCTTGGGGTTGTTTTGAGGATTAAATGAGTTGCCATATGTCACCTGTTTAGAACAGTACATCCAGCCAGTCTACTGCCATCGAGTAGATTCTGACTTGTAGTGACTCTGTAGGACAAAGTAGAACAGCCCCGTAGGGTTTGCTAGTCTTTACAGAAGCAGATCGCTACATCTTTCTCCCCTGGAGCTGCTGGTGAGTTCGAACCTGCTGACCTTTGGTTAGCAGCTGAGTAACCACTGTACCACCAGGCTTCTTAGAACAGCACATAGAAAACCTCAATGTTGTTATTTGTCTTGAACAAAAAAACACTTTGGTTTAGAGGAGTGAATAAATGTCTCGACTGATTGTACTGGCAAAGTTCTGGGTTTCAGGAGTCGGGGGCCACGTGGTTAACACTCCTCGGAATCTAGCCGGTAGGTTATTCTTCATTAGCTCCCTCTTCTTCCTCCAGTTTCCTTACAGTAAGAGCTCCCATGGGCGGAGCCCTGGGGGCGCAGTGGTTGAGGACTCGGCTGCTCACCAAACAGTCAGCAGTTCGAATCCACCAGCTGCTCCTTGGAAACCCTGTGGGGCAGTTCTACTCTGTCCTGTAGGGTCGCCATGAGTCAGAATTGACTTGATGACGGCAATAGGTCTGGTTTTTTTTGGTATGGCTGGAACAGGGGGCAGACTGGGCTGTGGCAGGGATGGGACCCAGCTGTGGCCCTGGGAGCACAGGTCAGGTCTGGTTTCTGTGGTGGGTGTTCGTGTGGGTGAGTGGCTGGCGGTCGGTTCTGGGCAGAAATTCAGATATGTAAGCATTAAACGTTAAACGTGTCATTTTCCTTTTCTGTTGGGGTTGTCCTCATGAGAAAATCACACTTTATTGTGAAAAACACATTTTCAGTCAGAATATGTTGATTTTTGTGAAGTATAAAATACTCTGTTGTGACTGGTGAGCTTGGAGGTCTAGGTAGAAGCAGAAAGTGAGTTTTGATCTTCCACATTCTCGTGGAAGAGGCTCAGGTAACCTGCTGTGCTTCTCTCTGAGGGCGGCGAGCTGGGTTTGCTGTTAGTCTAACTTTAGTTCTCTGAGGCCACTTATTCTGTTGTAGTGGATACAACTGTGTAGCGCTTTGTTTTTGTTATTACATCATGCATATAAAAATACTTTTTAAACCTTATTCAGTAAATAGCCAATTTAAATAAATTAGTATACAGACTTGTTTCATTATTCGGGCTTTCAAATAAATTAATACTGAAATCAGGACAATTGTATAATCATATATTAGACACGCATTGATTTCTTTTTTCTTATCTCTTGCAGGATTTCTGGTAGGTCCTATTTTAGGACAAGATGAGGTACTGTTGAAGCGTCCGTCCGCTTGAATTCACGGACAGTAGTTGAGTTTTTCTGCTGGGAAGCTGTTTTTCTGCCTGCTCCCTGACGTACGAAACCATGACGGAAGGAGAGACAGAGTCACCTGGGCCCGAAAAGTGTGGTCCATATATTTCATCTGTCACGAGCCGGAGTGTGAACTTGATGATCCGTGGAGTAGTGCTGTTTTCGATTGGAGTATTCCTTGCGTTAGTGTTAAACTTACTTCAGATTCAGAGAAATGTGACCCTCTTTCCACCTGACGTGATTGCAAGCATCTTTTCTTCAGCATGGTGGGTACCACCGTGCTGTGGTACAGCTTCAGGTATGTGCAGGGCGTTTCTGTAATGCTTCGAAGGGAAATAGAATAAATGAGTGTGGATGTTGCCTGAGCTGTCGGCTGTTTTAAAAAGTCAGCTTTGTAGAGGTATAATTTAAATACAAAACAATGGACCTGTTTTAAGTGAACAGTTTGATGCGTCTAGCTAAGCGCACGCATTCATGTATCCACCACCGCAGTCCAGATGTACACCATGTCCATCACCCCCCGAATTCTCCTGTGCCCCACCTGCAGTGCCAGGCTACCATCGGGCTGCTTTCTGTCACTCTGAGTTATTTTTGCCGCTTCTAAAATTTAATATAAATGGGATCATAGAGTAGGGACTCTTGTGACTGGCTTCTCTCTGAGCTAGGAACCTTTAAAATTTTATCCTAAAATCAGTCCTGAGTCCCTCAGGCGCAGGGCATTTAACCTCGTAGTTTTGGCCTTTCTTCAACCCAGCTCACGTAAGTCTTTTTTAGGTTATCTTGACGATGACCTCACTGTTTGTTTTAAGCTTTTGATGGTTTAAGGTTTGTTTTTGAAGCAGATAAAAACTTAAAAGATGGAATAGTTTTAATTCAGGTTTAAAGCTTCGTTTTTTTGTTTGTTTTTGTTTTCTTTCAGATTCCGTGTATGTTTTATTGCCTTGTATCTTGTTTTTAAACACGCCTTTAGGAATACTAAATAAGGGGGCAGTGGTGGTCGGTGGTAGAATTCTCACCTTGCACGCGGGAGGCCTGGATTCGATTCCTGGTCAATGCATCTCTTGTGCAGCCATCACTCATCTGTCTGTGAAGGCTTCTGTGTTGTTACAATGCTGATCAGATTTCAGTGGAGCTTCCAGACTAAGACCTTCTAACAAATCAGCCAGTGAAAACACTACAGATCCCAGTGTTCTGAACCTGTTGTGCAGGGGGTCACCAGGAGTCGGGGGCTGACTCGGCGGCAGCTGAGAAAAACAAGAATAGCAAATATTTAGAGAGATCAATGAGGTAGAGTTTCTTTGTATAAAAATGTTCCTGTCCTGTAGTTACTTTATATCTTTTTTTGGTGGACAGTGTGTGATAGATACAGGGGCGCATTTCAGAATGCTTTATAGATGCTGAGCTTCCGTAACGGTAGCTCTTCCGCTTTTTCCAATGACTGAGGCCAAGAGATTAATAATATATAATATAATCGAGTTGTAGAAGGAAGCCATAATCATGGGGCAAAGATCATTCTGACTGAGGGAGAAGGTCGCCTTTTTGAATGTCCGTTTGGTGTCCCAGAGTTAATATGCATGAATACCTTGCAGTGTGATGTAGGTCCTTGCTGGGGTACATCCTACAGCTGGAGGTCAGAGGGTGGGGAGTTAATTGCAGTCTGTTTTAGAATGACCTGGTGAAACATGCGGGACAGTCGCACAGTCCTGTCGCAGGGATGGGAGGGCAGCGTGGTGGTAAGGCTTCAGTGTGTTTTCTGTACCGACGTTTCACAATCGCAATATTGACTGTTGATTTTGTTGGGTAGGTCATGGTGTTTAGTAGATAACAGTGAACTTATGACACCATGATTTCTGGAGGTTGCCAGAGATGGAAGCCGAATTCTTGCATAATCTCCCCTCCTATATTTAAGGGAAAAAAGAGGTAAACTATGTAAGCAACATAGCGTGCAAGAGTTTGTATGTATATGTGAATATGTATGTGTGTTTGTGTACACGTGTGTATTTTCAAAGCTCTCCAGGTAATAGTTCTTACCCTCTTAAGCTAGAAAAACTGATAATTACCCTTTGATTTTCTGATCCAGTTAACATTCATAGACCGAGCAGCTACCTTTCGAAGAGCCTCCAGAACCCCCACTTTCTGCCTTGAACAGAAGGGCCCCCTGGTTATTTGCTGCCTCTCCTGATTGCACAGTTCTGGGCAGTGTGCTAGTGGTGCTCTGGAGGGACAACTGGTAGGGAACTCTGGTAAACTTCTTTTGATTTCATTTTCCTTTTCTTAGTTCCCTATTTTTAGTTTAATAACGGCTGATGTTAAAAGTTGGTTACCTTCTTCCTGTGTGCGGTGTAATAGAACTGGAGTTAGAAGCCTCTTGAGCATTATTGAAGGCCACAAAGGACTCTTTCTCAAGAATTAATAGGTGAGAAAAGGCAGCTGTCATTGGGAGGATAAAATAACTATAGAAGTTGCCTCAAAAATCACAAGTAGCCAATTTACATCTGTGCCTATGAAAGCAATACCTAATTTTATAAAGAAAAAGAAAATCTTCCCTGTTTCGCCATGCAGTCAGTTATGGGTCCTGGAATGCCCTGTAAGACTCTGTTACTCTCACCTGCCAAGTTTTACGTCTTTCCTCTGTCTTTTTCTTGGTCCAGACACTCAACCGCTGTGCTTGGAATTTTAAGTCTTCTCTCCTTCTGCCTGTAATTTTGCCCCCCCCCCCCACTGTAAGAACAATCTCCCTTTCTTTGGTGCAGATCTGATTGTATTATTATTGTTATTCCCCAGTGTCTGCAGCACAGTCTCTTCATAATATGCCCCTTGTCTACTTTTGTAGACAGAGTCTTTGGTCTCTGAAGCTTCATTTGAACCTAAAGCTTAGAGTTCCCAGATAGGACTGGATGTTTTCAGTTGTCCAGGCTTTTCCTCCAGAGCCGCCCTTTGATGAGAAATCCCCCGTCTACACCATTCCACCTGGTGGGCGCTGCCTGGTAGATCACCTCTTCTGTGAAGCTGAGCTGACCTGCCAGCACCCTCGCGCCCCTCAGCACGTGTGAGGAGACAGTGACTGGGTCCCCACTGGGCCCTGTCAGTTTGACCCCCAACACATTATTGTGTTGAATTGTTTCTGTGTCCACTTAGGGACTGGGATCATGTCTTGCTCTTTTTTCCTTTTAAATCCCCAGCAACTACCAAGAACCAGACATGTCATGGGGGTTTAAGTATTTGTTGGATGAAAAACATTGGCTTCTCCTGTCAGAGTTTTCTAAGAAAGTCTATTCCACTGAGTCGTTTTGGTTTTTTTTCAGCCCCTTTTCTTGCAAAATGTTCGATTTAACTGTGTTCCTTTTAGTGCGCCACCACACGAAGCACACCGCCGTGAAAAAGTGATGACTCAATACTGGCGTTTCGCAGACTTCTTTTGTCTCTGTCTTGGTGGACTGTACCTAGTCGCTGGGAAATAACTTAAAGATATCACAAGAAATGTGATTTTTGCATCAGAGAACCACCCGATTAAGCAAGGCTATGTTTGCGTATGATTTTACGAAGCATGATTTCAACAGCCTCTCTTGTGAAAATAAAGGCAGTGGAGGAAGAGGCAAAGGATCCCAGGTGTACTTCTGCTGAGCTCTCAAACAGTGGAAGCTCACAGGGCAGCGTGTGTTGCTATCTGACTCCGCCATGCCTTAATTTAAAGGAAAGAAAGAAGACATGTAATGAGAAGTGACGAGCTTCCTCGAATTCTCCCTCTCAGTGAGCGGCCGAGAACCAGGCATACTCAATGGATTTGATTTTTATTGGCAGATCCCAGCGTTGGCAGCACGGCAGCCTAAATCCCGTTTTTGTGTTTGCTTCCTCCCCTCAGTTGTCTCTGACTTGCAAGTCTGACATCACATGTATAAAAATAGAGTCAGTTTGACTTATTTGTGTCTTTGCACACATGTCAGTATCCTCTATGCGATAATTCTTTACCTGTGGCATCAGCTGTTGAGGGAAATTGACTTGGAATGCCTGATCTTAGTTGATTTTACTCAGCAACAGGCAGAGGGAAGAGAGAGGGAGAGAGGAATGACAGATGAGCCGTTAGTTTCGTGACCCCATGAGAAAAAAAGAGGTGATACTCATTTAGATACGTTTCAACTGTTAGGCGTGCGTGTTGCCAGTTCAATTGTGTAGACTTTTGGAGAAGTGCTGTCAGTTCATCTCGTAGAATTTTAGAGTAAAGTCTTTGAAATAGGAAGGTAATGTGAAACTTTAACATTTACTATTAAAATTTTAAATAGTTACTGGAATAACAGCTATTAAAAAGAATAACTCTGGGTTGCTGAGATTTGTTGTTCATCTCTTGGTGGCCTGTAAACCGTGTATGTTCGGCACATGCCTCTCCAAAGACCACTCTGGTGCTTTGGACTAGAAAGTGTGTGTGCTGTTGCAGCATGTCCCCTCCAGAGGGGAGGAGGTCATGAAGCCTCTTTCTGATGGGTTCCATCGCTCTGCTAAAACTGAATAAATCCGTTGCCGTCAAGTCAATTCCCACTCGTAGCGACCCTACAGGACAGAGTAGAACTGCCCCATAGGGTTTCCAAGGAGCATCTGGTGGATTCGAACTGCCGAGCTTTGGGTTAGCAGCCGAGCTCTTAACTGCTGTGCCACCAGGGCTCCATTGCTTTGCTAGTCTGTGATTTGTGATACTAATTGACTTCTGTTTTTCCTTGAAGATTGAAAGTACTGCTTGTGAGATACAGCTAGCCAGGACCAGGCCGGGGAGGGGCTTCGGACACTCAGGTGCTTAGATTTTGGTACAGTGATTTTATGAGGCATCATAGGTGGTATTGGACATTTTAAACATACTCTTCAACTGATGGGACAGTCGTGTCTTTATCACCAGAACAGCGACCTAGTCATCCTGTTCAGGAAGATGAGCAGATCGAAGCTGCCTAGCTATTTCCTGTTGAGTTGAATCTGTGGAAGTACTTTTTCCTTCTAACTTGTTGAAAAGTGTTCTGGTTCATTAAATAGTCTTTTTGAATGACTAACGTAGCATTTAACATTCTCTCCCACTTGATGAACAAAACGTTGAGGCTTGACAGGTGTTTATGTAGAGAATTGAGTGAGACTATTTTGAGTCTCAACCATGGACATTTGTATACAGTTATTTATAATTCCATAGTTAGCATTCAAGATGTTCTTTCCAAAACTAAGAAATGTATTAAGATAATTTCTTATTAACAGTGAATTTAAATTTTAAGCCAAAATTTATAATTCCTAGACTATGTTTTCTCCATCTTTTTCTATGTGCAGAACGAGTCTTCCGTGCAGATTTCTGTTGTGAGTTTCCCTGCTACGATAACATGACACGCAGACTCATAAGAGGGCCAGGTAGAAGTGAGTGAGACCTCAGGACAAGGCGGTAGACCCAGGAGAATGATAAGCTGGAGGGGCAAGGCTAATCTACATAATGGGAAAGCCAGAGCCATCAGAACATTATGTGTGCAGGGAGCTTGTTGTACATGTTTATGCTCCTAGCTTTTCCTTAGATTTGTGGCATTTAATAACATGTTTTATGATTATATAGTTTAAAGAGAACGTTGCTTAGCTGTTAACTGATGGGATGCTTTTCAAATCTCACAGTAGAAAGGTGGCAGGAATCACCTAGTCCAGTCCGCTCAGCCGTGAGTCCTACGTTTACATAGTATTTTGCCTGTTGTAATTCAGAATATTCTTGTAACAGTTCACGATGCTTTCTTCAGTGGTGTTACCCACACATACCCACC